TGTTCTTTATCAGATAGAAGTCCAATGTGTCCTCTTAGTATTTTCAATTTTTTATATTGACTGTTGTCATATGAATGGAATAAACCTTTACAAACTAGCTTGTCTGTTAATATGCTGATACATACCATTTCCATGTTTTATCTGTCCATGTTCAGGGGTATTTTGGAGCTAACTGAGGCTATTAAAGTTAAAGAAGCTGAGGCAGAGGCATATATATCTGAAATTGAGGTTTGCTATCTGACTTTTTCTCCCCCTTCGTACTAGATGAACAGAAATAAGTGGATTTGTTTACACTAACTCTCATTTCTTGTGATATAATTATTTGATTGCTATCATGAAGACTATTGGTCAAGCATATGAAGATATGCAGACACAGAACCAAAATCTGTTGGACCAGGTGATTGAGAGGGATGACTATAATATTAAGGTATATCTTATTTTCATCTTCAGTAAACACTATCTCATTATGATCTTCACCGTTTTTCCATGAACAACAGCAATGCATAGGTTATTTTCCTGGCTTTTGCTGTTCTGGTTGATGAAAAATATCTGGTTCGACTTTGTAGCTAATATATTAACTTCTGCTGTTTTGTGTAGAAATATATGTCAATATTTTGAAGAACTGATTATTCATGAATCCACATGTTAAAGTTAGCATCTGGTTAATTTATAGAAAAATCATTTTAAAAGGGTGGACTACTTAAGTGGATTTTATAGATCATGGATATAAGATGGAATCATTATTAGGAAGTTTTTTGTTTTTGGAGAACGTGTGAGCAGCATATTCTAGAATCAGCTCTGGATCAACCTAGAAATTTGGGATAATCAATTTTGGGAAAAATCTTAGACAATAATCAATTTTCTCAAACATCGTGAAATTTTGCTGTATGAGAATTGATTTTGGCAGGGATAAAATCTCACTCAAACAAGAACTTTTTTACCCAGAAAGTTGTGCAATTTACTAAATCCTAGTGATATTTGCTCAAATAATTCGACTTTTGGTTAGTGAGATTATGTTTTTATAATATTCTGATTCTAATGCAGCTTGTATCAGATAGCGTGAAGGCAAAACAGGCCTACAACACTCTATTGACCCAGAAACAGGCCTTAGCTAAACAACTTCAACAACTAAATACTTCAATAGAAAATTCAAAAGCGAGGATTGCACATAGTGAAGAACAGGTCCAACTTCCCCCGCTGCCAGACCCCTCCCCCCTCCACTGGTCCCTTTTTTTTTCTAATATATTGGGAAATTATGCTGAACAAGTTTGCTACAGCAGCAGTTGCTTACTGTTTTGTTAAACAATATTTTGAATCCTGCAGATGAAAATCATTCTATCTGAAGCCATTAAGTGTAATCAAGAAGAAAAACA